CTAAAAGTTGAGGGCAAATCTTAAACAGGGGGGTTGTTTTTTTTTTTTTTTTTTTTTTTTTTTTTTTTTTACCCAGAATAGAAGAATGGAGATGTAGTAAGATGGTTGCTACTTCTTTTCCTTCTATTTCTTCCAGAAGCTACATCGAGGGTGGGGTGGAGTCCATCAGGGGCAGAGCTATAGCAGATACAGTGGTATGATTGTAGCTTGCTTTGATTCTTGTTCCACCCAAAACTTAAAAACAACTGTCTGGCAGTGGCACTTCTCTTCAGGCAGTTCTTTAGGTACTCAGTGGACTTCATGGCTTGTTATAATTCACCAGATTCCTCCTAATTTTCCTTCACTCTGCAGATAGTCTTAATAATCCACTAATCAAGCTAGCCTTTTTTTCAGCAATTTTGCTGTCAGTTGGCTACCTTTGGTTTCTCTTCTCATATTTCACAGCCCTGCAGACTGTTTTTAGTCCTTTTCAAATGGAATCCAGTCTTTAGCAACAGCTATAGTTTCAGCTTTTGGCTGAGCAGCCAAGAGGTGCTAGTTCGGCTATGAGAAGGTTAAAACTGTAGCGTCTTCCCAAGCAGGAGAAGGAGGATAAGTGATCTGAAGGTTAAGCTATGTCCCTGCTCTGAGTGTCCATAACACTGGGAAAAATCTCTTTCCCCGTTCCATTTTGCCTTCGTGAAAACAAGGTGTGTGTCTTATTTCAGAGCACATAGTACCTTTTTGATGATCTGCTTTAAGGGCCTGATCCAACTCCAGTCTGATGTTAGTGGAAGTCTTCCATTTGCCCTTCACAGGATACGAATCAAGCTCTAACCAGCCTATATTTTACGAAGTAACATATAAACAGTACTTTGTAGGGGCCTCAACCCAGTGGTGTAACAAGAAATGGGTGAGCAAGAGCATTGGCCCCAGGCACTGATTTTAGAGGGGCACAAGAATGGTGACCGCTGCCAGCCCAGCTGCTGCTGGCCTCCCAGGTGCAGAAATTGCTTGTTATGCCTCTTCTCAACCTATAAACCATTACTTTGTGTCATTTTAGTGAGCTCAGTGGATCTACTGTAAAAAAGGACTCATGCAGGACTCATTTTTTAGTTTTACCAAATTTCCTATTTCTTTAGAATCTCAAGCAAAATTGCAACACAGCCTATCAGTAATGCGAGCAGCATCAATTTCTTTTTACAATTTCCTTTTACAATTTTTCTGTCTTATCAACTGCTATAGATGCTTCCCTTCCTTTCTTAAGAACATAAGAATTTCTGGTACATCCTGACTTAACTGTAAAAAGACAGCGTTGAATAGCTAGAGATATTGAAAATAGAGGTCTGCAGATCTCTGCTCCTTCACACAATGTTAGAGCAGTCCATGTGACAAGTAAATGTGTCCACTCTTGAAATTTAATTCTCCGAAAAAAGAGAGAGAGTACAGCTCAGAAAGGAAATGGCACTAAATGAGAGACCATTCTTTTGTTAAAAGCCAGAATGAAATCAAGGGAGAGACACCAAATCAGTTCATTCTTATTTGTAATTTGCAGATTGCAGTCTTGTCCTTCATTTAGATGTAGTGTTGATGGGCTCTTGGTATATTCCACAAGCTTTTTTGCTTGATACTGGTTTATCTGTCCTAGTTGTTTTTCTTTCCCTTCCAGTAAAATTGGCTGCTAAAATTTATGAAATTTGCAGTGGCTGGCGGGTTTCTTTTAATGTTTGCTCTATTATTTCCTAGTCAGTAATGGTAAATGCGTTTCATGCTCCTCCTTGCTGGAAGCCCAGGAGACTGAGCCATTCATAATTATGAAATTGGTAGTTGTTCTCTAGGTTCATTCATAAGTAGTGATTTACATTATTGATTTCCCCCCCCCCCCCCCCCC